TTTTTTTTTTTTTTTTTTTTTTTTTTTTTTTTTTTTTTTTTTTTTTTTTTTTTTTTCATGTGGCGAACAAACAGTGACGCAAAAGTGGTGGGGCAACAAGAGGATAGACTACGCGCTCTACTGTCCCGAGGGCCTGGCCAACTTTCCTACAAACGCCCTGCCCCACCTCTTCCACGCGAGCTACTGGGAGTCCTCGGACGTGATAGCTTTCATCGTGAGGCGGCTCGGTAGGTTCGACATGCAGCTCCTCGGCAACGAGGACAAGGACCTCACCGACTTCCGTCCGGGCCAGCCGCGGGAAAAGTGGAACAAAAAACGCACCTCCGTCAAGCTCAAGGTGACCCAATCGCGACAAACGCCCCCCCCCCCCTTCCTTCCTCGAGCTACACATATGTGGCTGGTTATTGAATTTCGACCTCTTTCAGAACATTTCGGCCAATCACAGGGCTAACGATGTCATCGTCAGGGATACCGCGCCCCAAGTGCTCTCGGCTAGGTTTATTTACGGCCCCATTGGCCTGATAGCCCTCACAGGTACGATTCTTTTCATTCATTCACCGATTGCGTCTATACACGAAAGTATAAAATGATGATGGTATTGCGTGTGGCTTCTTTCACAGGCGAGAAGGTCGACATTCACATAATGAAGGATCCCAGGGCGGGGGAGTGGTCGTACTACGCGACGGAGGTGACGGACAAGAACGGCAGGATAACTTATCAAATTCCGGACGACAAGACGCTCGGCTACGGCCTCTACCCCGCGTAGATGGTCGTGAGGTACGTGAGCTTGGAAACAGATTGTGTATACTTTTCGCATCGACTAATTTTTTTCTTTTTTTTTTTTTTTTACCATTATTGTTATTCTTTTGTACGTGACCACGTAAACACTGAGCCTTGAATTTATCTCTGTATCTTTTTATCATCCGTTTCACTCTCTACTATTTTTTTTTTTGTCAATCCTTAGAATAACATATTTGTCGGACTCTAGAAAAGATGATTCATTTATTATCGTCTCTGTAGAGTTACCAGATATAGATTCCTCTTATAGGAAAAAAAAAAAAAAAAAAAAGGTACACGTATACATAACGACGATCGATTATTTATGATCACATGGCAAAGCACAAAGTGTCCATAGTAAAAAATGAACTTGACCCGTTGCGGTTCATCATTGGGTTGTATTAATAGGTATCAGTCGGTACTATGCATAACAAAGGAACACTTGATTAATGTTGAAAAAAAAAAAAATAATAATAATAAAAATAACAAATAAATAAATAAAAAATAAAAACGTTTGCTTCGATTATAATAGACGCAAACGTTGACTTGACGGCCAAAAAGTCCGACATAACGACGTTCAAGGGAGCATTCGAGTCAGTGATAAGGCAGCACTACCCGACGATGATCGGGCACATAGCAATCAAATTCGTTTCCTGTCCATCGATCTGCACCGAAGGTCTTGGAATATTATCTAGGTGAGTGAGCACACACGCGTACGCTACTACCCGCTGGACGCGTACTGACATGGATATCATTTTTTTTTTTTTTTTTTTTTTTTACGCCCGCGTCACTGCAAAAGACATTAATGTTTGACCACGCTCGGCGCACACGTCGGTGATATACTTGGAAGATAATAGGAAAAAGAAAAAAAGAAAAACCGAAGGGTATAACTTTGAATGTATATGTTGTGAGGGGCTTTTCAGTAGTGCAAATCGAGTTTGGTCAGACAACGTTGATATATTATATAGGGAGTAGAGGCTCCGCAATAAAATAAAATCGAGTATCTCGTGAAACCCAAACGACCTGAGTATAGAAAAAAAAAAAAAAAAAAAAAAAAAAAAAAAAGTCCATACTAACGCACTGTAAACCCTGCAGTCTCAGCCCGTACAGCTTCGACGTGTCGCCGTCGTGCATGGACGCGCCCCAGATAACGCACGACACGATACCGATCGGCGCAATACCGATGTTCGCGACGTCGACCCCCGATTACCAGGAGTCGGTGACGCGCGTCGTCAACGGGGCCAACCAGGTTTACCAGGAGTTTGTGCGAAGCGACGAGGGCCGCGGCTTCCACGGCCAGGTCTGCGTGATCGGCGACTCGGTCGGCTCGATCCTCGCCTACGACGCGCTATGCCGATCCGCCCAGTACCAATCGAGACACGACAGCGAGAACAGCATACTCGACCACGACAATCACGAGAACAACGCTACCGACGACGGCAAACACCTATCGGCACCCTCGCCCAGGAGACGCTCCTCGTCCACGAGGTACCCTATCACCACCACCATTAGCTTTTTAAATTAAAAATAAAAAAAAAAGGCCCGGGTTTGAATTTTCGTTGGGTTGCCATTGCCCCTCCCTCCAAATAACTTGAAAAGTTACTTGGTANAACTTTGAATTTACTTGAACGTGCACGTCAGAAGTGAGTTGGTGAGCAAAAAGTTTTCACCCTCGCCCAGGAGACGCTCCTCGTCCACGAGGTACCCTATCACCACCACCATTAGCTTTTTAAATTAAAAATAAAAAAAAAAGGCCCGGGTTTGAATTTTCGTTGGGTTGCCATTGCCCCTCCCTCCAAATAACTTGAAAAGTTACTTGGTACGCAGCGACCACTCGCACCAGTGCAAGCTCGAGTTCGACGTGAGCGATCTGTTCATGTTCGGGAGTCCGTTGTCGCTGGTGCTGGCCTACCGCAAGGTGTCGTCGACGGCCGAGCGAACGAGCGCCATCATCCGCCGGCCATGCGTCAACCAGGTCTACAATCTCTTCCACCCGACGGACCCTGTGGCCGCCCGCCTCGAGCCCCTCATCTCCGCCCGGTTTTCCTGTCTGCCCCCCGTCAACGTTGCCCGCTACCAAAAGTACCCCCTCGGCAACGGCCAACCCTACCATCTACGTGAGCCAACTGTCCTATACATATATTTCATTTGTGTGTGCGTGTATACAATGTACGATCAACAATTAATTATCATGCCTTTGTTGGTGTTTGCAGTCGAGACGTTGCAGTCGAACCCCCAGCTGTTCGCCGATGGCCTGAGCGTCCCCAACGTCACCATGTCCCATCTGAGACGACTCTCGGACTTATCGATCCACAGCACCATGTCTGGTATAGATACAGTACCCCTCCAAGCTATGACCTCCCGTACGCATACTACGCCGCTCTTTGCTTATATTATATCTATAATTGCTGTTTCCGTACAAGTGTATTATAAACCTTGGCCGATGATTATCTACCTTGATTTTTTTTTTTTTTTTTTTTTTTTCATGTGGCGAACAAACAGTGACGCAAAAGTGGTGGGGCAACAAGAGGATAGACTACGCGCTCTACTGTCCCGAGGGCCTGGCCAACTTTCCTACAAACGCCCTGCCCCACCTCTTCCACGCGAGCTACTGGGAGTCCTCGGACGTGATAGCTTTCATCGTGAGGCGGCTCGGTAGGTTCGACATGCAGCTCCTCGGCAACGAGGACAAGGACCTCACCGACTTCCGTCCGGGCCAGCCGCGGGAAAAGTGGAACAAAAAACGCACCTCCGTCAAGCTCAAGGTGACCCAATCGCGACAAACGCCCCCCCCCCCCTTCCTTCCTCGAGCTACACATATGTGGCTGGTTATTGAATTTCGACCTCTTTCAGAACATTTCGGCCAATCACAGGGCTAACGATGTCATCGTCAGGGATACCGCGCCCCAAGTGCTCTCGGCTAGGTTTATTTACGGCCCCATTGGCCTGATAGCCCTCACAGGTACGATTCTTTTCATTCATTCACCGATTGCGTCTATACACGAAAGTATAAAATGATGATGGTATTGCGTGTGGCTTCTTTCACAGGCGAGAAGGTCGACATTCACATAATGAAGGATCCCAGGGCGGGGGAGTGGTCGTACTACGCGACGGAGGTGACGGACAAGAACGGCAGGATAACTTATCAAATTCCGGACGACAAGACGCTCGGCTACGGCCTCTACCCCGTGAAGATGGTCGTGAGGTACGTGAGCTTGGAAACAGATTGTGTATACTTTTCGCATCGACTAATTCACACCCTGATTTTTTATTTTTTTCTTTTTTTAGAGGCGACCACACGTCCGTCGACTTCATTTTGGCTGTGATACCACCAAAAACCGAGTGCGTTGTGTTTAGTATCGACGGCTCCTTCACCGCGAGTGTCTCGGTCACGGGCAGAGATCCCAAAGTCAGGGCGGGCGCGGTCGACATTGTCAGGTAATTTGTTGAAAATACACACGATAACTTAGCCCTTGGTACGAGAGGTAAACTTCTTTGTTCTCCCTCCCAGGCACTGGCAAGAGCTGGGCTACCTGATCATTTACATAACCGGGAGGCCGGACATGCAACAACACAAAGTCGTCTCCTGGCTCGCGCAGCATAACTTCCCGCACGGCCTCGTCTCCTTCGCCGACGGACTCTCGACCGATCCCCTGGCGCACAAGGCTGCCTACCTCCAAAAGTTGGTCCAGGTAAAGCCAGCTATGATTCTCCCTTAGTGATATCGCGTGCAATATTGTTGATCTCGCGACTTGTCGCAGGAGCACGGGGTGGTAATCCACCACGCGTACGGCAGTAACAAGGACATAAGTGTGTACACGTCGATCAATCTGCAGCCCCACCAGATCTTCATAGTGGGCAAGGTGCCGCGGAAGAATCACGCCCTGGCTACCGTGTTGCACGACGGTTACGCCGCCCACCTGAGCGCATTGCAGGCCCACGGTGGCTCGAGGCCAGCTCAGGGCAACGCTCGCATGGTCATACCCAGGGGCCAGTTTGGCCTGCCCGGACAAAACGCCTCGCTGCGTCGCAGAAGGTGAGCCTCGCGGTTCCGTTGCGAGGGTAATCGGCGAGGCCCTTCGAAGCCATGATTTCTTCCTGTTTTTGTGGATCCGGCGGTGGCTCTTTTTGACCTTTAAACCCCTCCCCCCTCTCTCTTTCTTGAACGCTGTTGGTCGGTTTTCGTTTTTTTATCATCTCGTGCGATTTTTCCAGCGTACAGTCGATTATTGACTTGCGTGATGGAGTTTCTTTCTTCTTTTTTTTTCTGTTAGTTAGAACAAGTTTTTTGATTAAATTCCACTCATTGCCAAGAGAGAAACGGTAATGCGTCACAAAAATAGTTATTTATATTATACATACGTCGCCCTTTCCTCCGTTTTTTTTTTGAATTTTTCTCGTTATGGTTTTTCGTTGTACCGCTAAATTAACTCGAGAAGTTTTGTTTCAATGGGAACACCCACCTGCTCCGAAAGATTCGTTACTACTGGTTTTTCCCTAAAGCTCGAGATGAATCTTCGTCTTGGACTTTTTTAACGATTTTTCATACGAACCTTTTTTACGTTGCGATGTAAAGAGAAAGAATATTTCAGTTATTTTTCTACTAGGTTGGCGGAGGAACGAAATAAAAATACCTTTTTTGCCGGTTAAATTATACGTATAGCGGTTTTTTTTTATGTTAGGGACATTTAACTACATTGACGTAGATGTAAGAAGAAAAGAAATAGTGGACTTGGCGATTCGATCAGTCGTTACCCAATAGACCATGATACTGTATGGTTTACATTTGTGGTCGATCGTTTCGTCAAATTCACGAGTCCTTGGACACGGAAAAAAAAAAAAAATTATAGTGGAGCCCGTTAAAGTGTGATTTATAAGCTAGTTAGTGTCTGTGTGTGAATACGAGCTCCGGCTCTGTTCCAGTAATGAAGCAACGGTCAACTCACCGGTGCGCAGCAGTGTGTACTTAAAAGGGAAGCCTTCCTTAGTCACATCTAACACACGCCTATTATCTACGTACAATTAACTTACTCACATTGGTAACTATTCTATCTCGTACTTTTCTATCTTTGATAATTTTTTTTTTTTTCTTTACTTTCTTTTTTTTTTTTTTTCTCCATATACCACTCACCCTCATGTTTATTTGTTCTTCTGTGTTCAAATAGCTCCGTTATTTAGATAGAACAATTGACATGTTAAGTTGAATGCGTCAAGTACCAGATGTTATACGCTTATTCATACAATAGGTAGATTGTCTCACTAGTCTGGATATACTTTATAACAATTGTTTGTGTGTTGTACCTTATTAGTCTATAGTATGTAGACACCACACCTTCGTAGGATATGATATATTTGTGTGGCCGTCACATTTTTTATTTCGTTGACAAACGTATGATTTTACGTATTCAATTTTGCTTTCGTTCGCTTTCAATTGCATCTTTTTTTTTTTTTTTTTTTTCATGTCCGCTGCTTTTTCTCCATTGCAACGTATATATTGCTAAGAAATGTTCATCCACGTTCAGACAAAATTGCTTTTCAAATAAGTCAAAATGCCGTTTGCTGCTAAGCATGACGATGATAAACGTAGCATAGAAAAACGTTTACACGAATTTTAAAACAAATTAACATTACCAGTTTGCATGGTTGAATATATAACCATTTGACAAATCAATACATGTATACTTAAAAGAAACTTACGCGTCAGATCATTGACTGCATTACTCGCGAGACAGTCTCCCTACAAGTCTTTTTTTTTTCCTCGATAGATGCACCCCTACGTATGAAATCGATCCAATAACAGTAGTAAAATCAAATGGAAATAGAAAAAAAAAAACAAAAAATAGTGTTGGTAAAGAGAGGAAGAAAAAAATGTAGATAGGCGCAAAGAAAATAACAAAATGTGTGGCTTCTTGAAATTTGCAGGTACCGCCTGTGAGGATTAGTTCGCGTTGAGCCAGCGAAACACCGTGTACGAAAGGACACGTGCATCACGAGTAAACCAAAACAACAGACTACGCGTAAAATGTTTGTACATCGTGTGACGGAAAAAAAAAAACCAAAAAAAAGAGAGAGACTATAGTTACTACTGCACTGTGTACCTGTGTGTGTTTTAACTCTTTAAAACTCTCGTTAAAAAAAAAAAAAAAAAAAAAGAAAAAATTAATAAATAAAGACAACCGTATCGAGCAAAATTGTATAACGGCATATCGTCCAAGATTCCTCCAAGAGTTGTGGCCCATTGCTATATTGCTCCTACCTACTACTACTGCTACTGCTACGTACTTCTAAAAAACACACGTGATCTGCAATGACGGCTTGTAACTTGCCCATTTACGCAGTCGATTACTTTCCTCTTGGGATGCAAGAGTCGTGCTCTCCCTTTAGCGACCAAGGTAATTTTTCAGGGTAAGGGAGCGTCTTGGCCCGGCTGCCTTTTTTTCTTTTCTTATTGCCGTCGTTGCATCGCTGCACACTATAGTCAAATGTTTGGATTGATTTTTTTGTTTTCTACGTTTTTGATAAATGTTTCCTTTTTTTTCTCTCGCTGTTGGGTGAAAATACACGCGTTGTGGAAATTTGGTGGTATAGGTACAAGCTCCAGCCACAAGTGGTTTGCATCACCGGCAAAATGGAGATCACAAGCGCATAAATCATAGAGCTTGCAATGGTTTTTTTTTACATCTCATAATTGTTGCACTTGCATACATCGAAATGCTTTCTTTCAAATTCACGTATCCGCGGTGTTTTATCCGTTTATGTTTACATAGGTGCATTGAAAGAAACAAAGAAAAAAAAAAAAAAGAAAAAAAACACTCTATTGAATTTTTTCTTTATTTAAATGAAATAGTCGTGATGTAACGAGGAATTCAGCAACTGATCTTTATTTTCGTGTCGTTAGTATAGCACTCGGATCACAGGTGACAGCAACATAATTTTCCAACAGTTTACGTTTGTTTCCCAAACTACGAAGAGCTTGTCATTTCTCAAGACACATTACGTACTGTTGATTATCGTTTTCGCTTTGCGTTTACGTGCGTCGCACCGTGGGAGTGTAATGTATGTATAGTTATCCTGATTACAATTGGCTTGACAACAGGGTATATATATATATATATATATATTTATTGTTGTGTTATTTAATATTATTTTTCGCATGGCATTTAAGTGTCCTACACGTGTGCGCTTTGATGTACCCATGTGTCGATATATCGTGTGTTTTTGTGTGTTACCGTCCCATACTGCACGCATACATTTATCGGCTATTCCCACTTTGCAAGCGTACTTTATATACCTATTCACAGCTTACCAATTCCATAACTCCATATGAATATTCCATCGAGCTTGCGTGTATATATATATATGCCGTACCATCAGTTTGAGCTTAATGGCTTTCACGCGTCACTTTCCCCACACTGCACTGTTATGTATGCATTTATACCAGCTCCGTGTGATCTTCCGCTTTTCATTGTACACTTACTACAATTACTTGCGTTGCTTCGTGCCGATGTTGAGAACATTCAAATCGTGTCTTTGTGAAAAAATCGCTTCGCCAGGTTTTTAACAACGAGACACTCGGTTGAGTACTTTCAACAGCACGTGCGACGATTTCAAACAAATTGTTTTCTTCGTACGCACTTACTAACAGACGAACACACACAATGACGTATGCACCGTAATTATTATATCACGTTGTACTGTTTGTTGACAATGATTGTTTACCTAAAGCATAAAAAAAAAAAAAAATAAAAATAAATAAAAATCGATAGTTAAAAATTTTTTATTATTTACAAAGTGTGTGTAACGATTTCAAGCTAAACCAAGCACTGCCACTTTTTTACGTCGCACATTGGTTAACGTTCAAGTGTTAAGTGTTTATTGCTTTTTTTCTACCTAGAATTTAAAAAATATCAATGGATTCTATATATATATATGTGTGTCTCCATGAATACACATGGACCAAGAATTAGTGAAAAGCTTTTGTGTGGCGATTTGGTGTTCACTCGAGTATATGGGTTATTGGGTTATTGTAAGAAAGATCGGTAAACTTGATCTACCTTGTAGACGATGATGTGTTTTGCATCTAATATCTGCAAAAAATTTTGTCTCGTCAGATCCCTTTGATGATTTAAGATTCGCAATAAGTACCAAATGGCTGGTAAAAAATAAATATAAATCCCGCCACAGGAATGAACGTCAACTGATAAGATTTTTTTCAACTTTGAATTTACTTGAACGTGCACGTCAGAAGTGAGTTGGTGAGCAAAAAGTTTTCACGGCTCATTTGGCTCCAATAACGATTACACACAGGTTGATCAGAAGCGAACCAATCGTCACGCAAAAAGTATCACCTATATAATGCACATAACTTTGATCTCAATATAAAAATAACGCACTGTCTGTTTATCGATTTAAGTGACTGTTTCACCTATATACAGAAAGTAAAAGTATTTCACGAGTTTATATGAACGATCGGCGAGTCTGTACCTATACACTTGCATATACGATAAAAAATAAAAATAAAAAAAATACCGATTCATCATATTCATACGAAACATTCTTTGTAACAACGAAAATCTCAAGCATAAAAGGTGGGCACACGAAAAGTATAAACCATAGGATCAAATGATACATAAATACTTAACCTCCCCAAAAAAAAAAAAAAAAACACATCGATTTGTCATATTTTCCAGTTATGTGTACAATTAGCGAGTCCGTATAAAAAAAAAAAAAACCATAAACTCGCCACAAACCCTTACGGAATAGCCCGATAGAGTAGTGTTTGTTTGAGCTTCGGCGGCTGAAAAAAAAAAACCAAACCGCTCGTGGAGTACTTAGTGTGTGCCTTGCGTGTTATTCGTACATACATACCTATATAATTACGAAAGAAAAGAAAAAAAAAAAAAAAAAAAAAAAAAAAAAAAAAAAGCTACCGCATGCAAAAAAAAAATATATATATAATATGTATAAACAATACATGGGAAAACTCGTGGATTAACCGCTCGATTGTTACCCGCAGGTCAATGACGAAGCGCGCTGTGCCACAGCCGTTGGAGGAGAAGAGCCCACTCGAGCGCAGTACGAGCGTGGGCCCGCCGACAACGCCCTCCTCGCCCCATCAGGAATCACCGCCCGGCCGGTCCGTCGTGCCCGACAAGTTATGACGGTTCGCCCGCTGTCGCTCTCTATTCGAGCCACGGCGGTAGAACGATAAATTTTTTTTTTCTTCGTTTATTCCTTACGTATACTCCCATTTACGCAGCTTCGTCACGATTACCGTACATTACTATTATTAATTGACGAATCGTTGCCGTTGATTGTGTTGGTAATTATTTTGTTTTCGCGGTATAATTGTACACACGTGGGTGCTATACAATCTTTGATTGACCTTTGGAAGGGTCCGCGACTTTTTTTTTGAGTTCATCGTATGCCCTTTGTTGCGCGTCATTATTATTACTCTTCTAATATGGTTCTCCGCGAACTGCTTCTTCCTATCTTGTTCTCATTCTCGGTGTTTGCGCACGAGGGTATAGTGTGTGCTTGTTTATACCTGAAACCTATATATATTATATTGGGGTATAGACTCTGGCTAAGCTCGAATTCCTTGATCGAGTGTGCAAGTATACACACGTACGAAAATGACGAGGCGTCTACTGTTCTATTAAAAATAGACCGTATTCAATGTGTGGCTTCGATGTCGTAGATCATAATAATAATAATAATAATAATACGTTGTAGCTTGTTGTTTCGAAAAAATAACGGGTTAAAAACATTTGGTTTGACATATCCCCTGTATGCGCACTGCGCCGAAGACCTTGAATTCCAATATAATTAACTGGTGACTAATATGAAACCATCAGGCCCTCTTTTTTGTACCTCTGATACAATATTGATTTAGAAAAAGAAATTCGATTTGTAAAACGTGCGTGAGATTCCCTCAAATTTTTTACACCCGCTGGAATAAACGTGTCTTCGCGTACAGCCTTTGCGGTTCTAAATTCCAATGACGTATGATTTTTAAAAGTCAAACACTGTATTTGCAGCCGAAATGTATAAGTACCTATGTGTATTGTTTATCGCGAATCAATGTCACCTGTGAGACAAAATGAAAGAAACGTTGTGCCAAATGTCTATTAAGTATAAATAAATGTTTGTACTTGTAATTAATGTGAAACGATAGTGTGTGCAATTTTATTTTTCATACGACGGTGAAATTGTGTGTATACTTCCACGGTGTATTACAACAATTCATTTCGCTAACGAAACTTTTAAGTCGAAAATGTATAAATATTTGTTGAGAAACGTTTTTTCATTGCTCAAATGTCATTGTACTCTGAAACATAGCAAAAACATAATAAATTTACACTATAAGAACGAACATGTTTTTCGAGTGTATGTGACGGTACTTTATTATTTATAAGAAAGTCACATGTTTCTAAAACATAAAAAAAAAACAGCTCAGCTTATTGTCTGATTAACTACTGTATTGGTGGATTCTTTGTATGAAAATTATGTAAAGCCCGAAAACCCTATAAAATACACTATCTAGAGGACAAACATGAGAAAAACCCTAGTAGGATTTTGTAAAAAAAAAATGAACCAAAAACAGGAAAAAACAAAAAAAAACAAAAAAAAAACTGAAATGTACTTTTAGAAATCATGACAAATACGCTTATTCCACATAAGTTAAGAACTACCAAGTTGAAAGAATCATTTGCTGTAGTCGAACAAAGTTTATTTTTTATACGCGGACTGTACAGCGTGTGCGTAAAATGTTCCCGGTAAAACTATACCACGAGACGTCGGAGCTCATCAAAACGGACTGAAAAATGCCACAACAAATTTTGATTCAACGCGTACTTTCCAAGCTGTTGTCGACTAATACAATCAATTTAAACTGGCATTGCACTCTGTGATTCGAAAAACGTATTTATTCATTTTCAAATTACATTTTGAAAAGTACGCGTTGGGTCAGAATTTTATTTGTAACGGTAGTTTTTTTTTTTTTTTTTTTTTTAGTTTCTCTTGATGAACATTTTTCAAAACACGCAGTATGTAAGTCCATTTCGTTGATCGTGTCCATGAAAGCAGTGCCTCGGTTGCTTCGCAATTGTCGTGTAAAATACGCAAATTTAATAATATCGGTATTTTCACGTCAACACACATTATGAACAATCAACGTAAGGATAAAAATGTTGCTCGCGATTGCGGCACTCGGTGATAATTTTTTCTAGGCATTCCCATACACAGCATTTTTCTTCCAGACCTTTGACCGAAAAAAGACAAATAAATGTGGGCCGAGTAACATTTACCAATGTAAAAACGAGCAGACGCGAAATTATTATATAAACCCAAGTACATAAATGATAACTTGTAAGATGTAATTATATTCGTTGCCGTTGTTACCTGAAAAAAAAAAAAAAAAAAAAAAAAAAAAAAAAAAAAAAAAAAGAAAAAATTAATAAATAAAGACAACCGTATCGAGCAAAATTGTATAACGGCATATCGTCCAAGATTCCTCCAAGAGTTGTGGCCCATTGCTATATTGCTCCTACCTACTACTACTGCTACTGCTACGTACTTCTAAAAAACACACGTGATCTGCAATGACGGCTTGTAACTTGCCCATTTACGCAGTCGATTACTTTCCTCTTGGGATGCAAGAGTCGTGCTCTCCCTTTAGCGACCAAGGTAATTTTTCAGGGTAAGGGAGCGTCTTGGCCCGGCTGCCTTTTTTTCTTTTCTTATTGCCGTCGTTGCATCGCTGCACACTATAGTCAAATGTTTGGATTGATTTTTTTGTTTTCTACGTTTTTGATAAATGTTTCCTTTTTTTTCTCTCGCTGTTGGGTGAAAATACACGCGTTGTGGAAATTTGGTGGTATAGGTACAAGCTCCAGCCACAAGTGGTTTGCATCACCGGCAAAATGGAGATCACAAGCGCATAAATCATAGAGCTTGCAATGGTTTTTTTTTACATCTCATAATTGTTGCACTTGCATACATCGAAATGCTTTCTTTCAAATTCACGTATCCGCGGTGTTTTATCCGTTTATGTTTACATAGGTGCATTGAAAGAAACAAAGAAAAAAAAAAAAAGAAAAAAGGAAAAAGAGAGCTTGCGATCGTAGAAGCGGAAAAATAAGAAGCACACCGAGGGGAGCTGCGACGCTAAACTGGGTCACAGAGACTCCCCCGCGCGCTCTCTCTATCTTTTCCCTCCTCTCTTTATCC